ACACAATTTTACAAAGTCACAACTCACAAAGTATCACTATTATAGTAGTTTATTTTCATTTTTTTTCTAAAAAACATTTTTTGGGTTTGTGACTGAGTTGAAGGATTTATGATTATTTCACTAAAAAAAACCCCATTTTTTTTTTTTTAAAAAAAGGAAACAATGGCTAATGGGTCGCCTAGTCCGTCACGGCATAATCCACGCATATGTTGCCTAGGGCCATCTAGACGGCAGGCATGCGCGATTTTTTGTAACCATGGGTGGAATAATGTGTTTGAAAAATACTTAGCTTGATGTATTCCCAAAAGTGATACTCCTAACTTTTACTCTTATTTGTGTCCAAATTTGTTTGGAAGAAAAAAAAATGAATAGATAAACATCATAGTCCCTACTAAATTGAGTAATCAGCATGTCAAATCATAGGAAGTATAAATTGAGAGTATATCTAGAATTACTCAATATTTTTAGGTCACATATTTATAAGTTAGATTATGTATTCTCAAATATACTTTAAGGAGCTCTTGCATTCTATATGCCAAAACGGGTATGAAGATTGCGAATTGTTATGCCATGGAATTGTATCTACCTTGTGAAGTTGACACGGTTCTATGTTCATAATTTTTGAACTTCATATTTACAATTATTGAACTCTATATTTATAATTACTAAACTATATGTTCATAATTTTTGAATTTCATATTCACAATTATTGAATTTTATATTCACAATTACAAAACTCTATATTCATAATTATAGAATTCTATATTCATACCTATAGAACTCTATATTCATAATTTTTAAACTCTATATTCATAATTATGAACAGTTTTAAAACCGTGCGGGTGGACACAGTTCCACAACATAATTTGCCGAAGATTGCAAGCTTATATTTTGATGGGCTATTAGATGTATGGGCCTAACTAAAACATAAATGCAGAATTTATATGACCAAAAAATCATGGGCTGTTCGATCCAATAATTTAGCCCAATTTCATTGGAATGATTGATGGTCCGGCCCAAAGAAAGCCCGACGACTTTTACTTTTCAGTCACTCCAAAACTGCTGCTAGTTCGACATGTCTGATCAGACAAGATCGGAAATCTAAACCGCCGTTTCACCTACGACCATGGCCGATCATGATCATCGCCGCCACCACCACCACCACCGCCCACACCGCTTATCTCTGCCACCGCGCACCGCCGTTCCCACCACCACACCCACTCCTTCAAGGCACCTCTATCCTCCTTTGACACCCACCCCCACCCCCTCAAAAAACTCTGCTTTTCCCCTCAAATCTTCTTACAGCGCCACCGCCAAGACTTCTTCTATCTCCTTCCTCTTCCTCCTCCTCTTCTCCCTCCGCTCTCTCTACTCTCTCCTCCCTTTCCTCCGCTCCTCCCCGTCCTCTTTCTCTATCTTCCCCTTCTCTTTCCTCGTCTCCCTCTTCTCTTTCCTCCTCACTCTATCCTTCTCTCTCTTCACCTCCCTCTCTTCTTCCTCCTCTAGAGACCCTTTTCGCCAGAAGCAACGCCACCCCATTTTCTCCCTCACCTTGATGACCCAATCTCAGCAAAGGCTTCTCTTAGCTAAATCCTTCCTTCAAGCTGTAATCTTTCTCCTCAGATTCCAAGCTCTTAGGTATTGCGGCGCTGCAGCAATGATTCTGGCGGAGCTGTCAGGAAACGTGACCGCGCGGTTCTTTGCCGGTGGGAAAAATCGAAACTTTGGTAATGACAACAAACTTGGATCATCTAAGATTGGTGGGTTTGTAGCTTTGTTCCTTGGATTACTGTTTTTATCTGTTAGCTGGGACCGAATTGAATGCTTTCCTTTATCTTCTGTGAATATTAGTAAGTTCGGAATTAGTAAGAATTGTGTTAGGGTTTGGCCTATGTTGCTTCCGTTTCTGTCTGGTTTTTTGGGGTGCTATGAACATCTTTCAATGAACTCAGGAACTGTAAGGGAAATGGGGCAAAAACGGGTTCGATTGGTTTCGTTGTTCTATACAACAGTTTGGCTTTTCATACCTGCTGTTATAAGCATGTTTGTGTTTGAAGCAGAAGGAGATAATATCTCTTTATCAAATCTTGGTTGGCCCTTAGTGAATACAGTAGTATTCGGTGTGCTTTTGAGTGAGAATTTCACTGATGAGAGGCCAAATGCATCGAAGGATTTTCAGAGAGAGTATGTTGTCACTTTCCTGTGTACTCTTATCCTGGAGTTGTTTTATTTCCCGGAGCTTTCACTCTGGGGACTGTTGGTTTGTGGATTCTTGCTTTGGATTGCTGCGAGGAATTTGGATCCGGTTTATTCTAATTATCTTGAATTGGAATTGGAATCATCTGAGTCGTTAAGTGCTGCTTTTATGAAGCCCCTTCGCCACATCTTGAGTGAAAGGAAGTCGCGAAAGATTGCACTTTTTCTTTTGATCAATACAGCGTACATGGTTGTGGAGTTTGTTGCCGGGTTTATGAGTAATAGCCTTGGGTTGATATCAGATGCGTGTCACATGCTATTTGATTGTGCCGCTCTAGCTATTGGATTATATGCATCATACATATCCCGCTTGCCAGCTAATCTTCAATTTAACTATGGTCGAGGGAGATTCGAGGTTCTCTCGGGATATGTAAATGCTGTGTTTCTTGTACTTGTTGGAGCATTGATTGTTCTTGAATCATTCGAGAGGATTTTAGACCCTCAGGAGATTTCTACTAATAGTCTGCTGGCTGTGTCTGTTGGAGGGCTCGTTGTTAACATTGTGGGCTTGATTTTCTTTCACGAGGAACATCATCATGCCCATGGCGGGGCTGGTTCCTGTTCACATTCCCATTCCCATTCCCATTCCCAATCTGAGTCTCATAGCCACCATCATACACATGATCATGGCCATCCAGTTCACAATCACCGGGAAGAACATGTTACCGTTGTCCATGACTGCCATGAGAAATTGCATTCTACTCATGATAAGCAATGCCAAAGTGATCACGAACATCATGAATGTAGTAAAGGACAGCACGAGAGTAAATCTTCACATTCTCACGACCATGGCCACCCTCATCATCATGATGATCACTCCCATCACGAATGCCATCATGATGCTGACCAACATGTCATCGTTTCTCACCAGCATAGTGATGAAAAAGTTATATTAAACCGAGGAGAAAAAGGGCATCACCACCACCACCACCACCACATTGACCATAACATGGAAGGCATCTTTTTGCACGTGCTAGCGGACACAATGGGAAGTGTCGGGGTGGTCATTTCGACCCTATTAATTAAATACAAGGGGTGGCTTGTTGCAGATCCTGCCTGCTCAATTTTTATATCCGTATTGATAGTATCCTCAGTTATCCCGCTGCTCAGGAATTCAGCAGAAATTCTGCTGCAAAGAGTCCCTAGAGCTCACGAGCACGACTTGAGGGAAGCTATAAGTGATGTTAAGAAGATGAAAGGCGTATGTGGCATTCAGAGTCTGCACGCTTGGAGCTTCACAAACTCAGATGTGGTAGGCACTCTCCACCTTCACGTCTCGACAGATACTGACAAGATTGCTACAAAGAATAAAGTATCGGACATATTACATGATGCCGGTATAAAGGACTTGACTGTTCAGATTGAATGTATCAAAGATAGTTAACAGAATGGGGTGTGTTGAGTAAATTCCCTTGTGAAGAGTGAAGACATTCTTAGTTCACCTGGAGAGCCCATAACAGACATATGCATGAGGTAAGTAGCCACTTCCATTTCATTTAACGTGCTATCAAAGCCTATTTCTTAACCATCTTGGTTGGCGTGAGTGGCCGTGTATTCTCATCCCTTAAGAGAGGTCGGGAGTTCGAACCCCCTCTCGTATAGAAAAACCAATCTGGCTAGCAATTTGCCCCTTAATTGGGTCAGCCCGGTGCAAATGGGAATTAATCTGAGTATGGTGCGAGCTTAAAGGTATCTCCTACAGTTAGGGCCTGTTCAGGACACCTCATGGTCTGACCAAAAAAATAAAAAAGCATGTTTCTTCTCCTTGTATGTAGGGGGAGGGAGAAAGAGAGAGTATACCTTTTTCTTGAGTATATTTTGATGAAATTGTACCATGCTTTTTCTCCTTATAAAAACAAAACTAAATTGTTCCATCACCTCCATGCTTTTACAAAGTCATGTACAAGGAAGATTGTGAAAAACGTTGCATATGTTGTGTTATAGTTAGGATACCCCATTTTGGAACAAAGAAAATTATTCACTCATTACCCAATGAATCATGATGAAAAAAATTGATTCTTTTTAGATTGCATTTGTCCTTTGGAATTGTTTCTCTTGGTATGGTTGATAATTTTCTTTTTAAGATATCGATAAACACTCTAGCAATGAACATTATGAAGTTTACATGATCTTTTTTTTTTTGAGACTTGTAGTTCAGCCTTTCTTGTCAGAAAGACTGAAATTGCTTGATTAGTTGATTGTACACTTGATAGCCGACATTGACACCTATTTGTGTGACCTCTTGATTTTATTAAATTTCCAGTTTTCAGGTGAGCAGTGTATGACAGTGTGTCGAAGAGATGATTCTGAACTTTGTCGCTACAAGAGTCTGGAATTCAACTGATAAGGAAACCGTTTCCTTTTCAGGTAGAACTCCTCTTCCTCAGCACTATCTAATTCCGGTAACAAGTGTATACTCAAATGACAGCAGCTGAGATAATCTTAGAACCTTGACAGACCCATTGATGTAAAAAAATTGATTCTTGAATTATTTGTTCCAAAAGACAAACAATACCTAGTGTACATTGTTGTTGTGTTTCTTATCTGTCATTCTCAACAATCCCTGTGATCCTCCACCCAGGATTCCTGTCAGGCAGATAAGAACATTAAGGATCAATACAGGATCCTAAATCTGTTTAACATTAAGGATCAAAATCTGCTTTTTCTTTATGTTTGGATCATTTGCAGTAGCAGTATACAGTCTTTTTTATTTCGTCAAAAGTCAGGGTTACAAGTTCAACTTCCAGCGGGAGCAGTCTATTGGCCTTCTTAGGTTGACTTGGTTAGCTCTGGTCAACCTAGACTGGTTTATCTCATTGTGGTCATTTGCTAGTTATGATCACAATGCATGATTTACCCAGTACACACCATCGGGTAGTGGCTGCAAGTTTCTCTCGTAATTTAAAAAAAAATGAATTTGTATTCAGAACTCAAGTAATATATTCTGTGAATGTTGTTCCCACTATTTGAACTGAAAATTAGTTTTAAAATTAATCAAGAACATCAGAAGTTTTTCAAGAAGAACAAAAAAATGATTTCATAGTTGGTGGGCCTTTAGCTCCAACTTATAAGCCTGAATTTCCATGGGAGAAAGGAGTACATGCCCTTCCCTGGCGCCATCTGTGAAATGTCTGCCATAGCCAAGCATCTCTGTGTCTTCATGCAAGAGATTCAAAGACGTAGCTTTTGGGTACAAGACTTCAAGGTCGTTGAACATTTCAAACAGATTAACCGGCGTGTCAACTACACTTGAACAGTTGGATCTGCCTTTCTGACAGTACGAGGAATCCCAGTGTCGGCGCTGGAAAACAAGAACAAACCTGGGATCTTCACGGGGATCCTGGGAATTTCTCATGGGCCGCGGCGCCTTGAAGCTCACAATATGCAAGTCACAGGGCAAAGAAGCCGCCATTGGAGAGAAGGACCGTGGCGGTGGCTGCACAGAGATTTTTTCAGCTTTCTTAGCTACAAATATGTTGAGGGGATGGTTTAAGCGGGCACCAACCAAATGAGATAGAAGAGAGGGGCTAAACGGGTTAGAAATTGCAACAGAATCTGCAACGGTTGAAACGTTGGACTCAAGAAGAACATGGAAGACGACGTTCATCCTCCGGTTATCCATCACTCCCTGACCAAGACCCCGCCCGTCGTCTCTCATCAACCTCCGGTCAAGCATGATCTCTAACCATCCATCTTTCAGGCTTGCAGCGCCCAGTGACTGGCGGGTGTGGATGGAGAAGCGTTGGCCGTTTGATCCCTGCATGAATGCAAGAGAGGGCATTGGATAATAGTTTCCCTGAACAGGAATCTTGTCGTAGGTTTCCCTGCGGCTCATTTGGAATCCATTCAAATCAGAATAGAAAATCCTTTTGTTGTCAATGTCAGTCTTGAACCTAGTTATCAATTCTTTGTTGTTGAACTCATATCCAATAAGCTCAACATGGTACTCCTTCTCAACAATGTAGTCCTGTATGCAACCATCACAGTTATAGATTCGGGTGCTATGGGAAACCGGAGCTTTCTGCCATAGCGTCTTTGGGAAAGAGCGTGCTTCCTTCACCAATTCGCCATCGGCTATAACCATCACTCCACCAGACAGTGAAATAGGCTCAGCATCACCATCTGGTTTGAATATATATGCTCCACTTTCTGTGCTGGAGTATATGCTTATTTCTTCACCAACTACATTTGAGTTTACTTTCTCCAACAGCCCAGACTTCAAGTTGAAAGTAAGTGTTTGATGCTGATTTTGAATCGTTGCTTCATTTCCTTTTGCTTTTGAGCAAGTGTAGGGTGATGGGCAAGAAATTTTACCAGGCATGAACATTTTTAAGTGTGCTGGTTTTGCCTTTTCGCAGGTAGGAAATCCGTTTGCGATGTAATAAGTCTGCAACCCCATTGGAGGAACTGAAGCTCTCCAGTAGACGCGATGTCTTCCAGTGAAAATCTTATCTTTATCGAGGTGTAATTCAGGAGATATCTGGCTTTCCACACATGTCCAGTTTGAGTCCAAAATCACCACATTTGGCCTGCCAACAATCACTGTCACAACTTCATCTCTTGTCTGTTCTAGTGGGTTAAAAATGACCAAACTCTGCAGAGTTTCTTCCATGGCATCTATTGTTTTGTGTACTGGCTGAGCATCATATTTGGATCTCAGCTTTGCTGGCTCAAACTCAGATGGAGTCTGATCATCTCTTTCGTGGCGAATCCCAATCAGGACCTCGATAGCTTTGGACATGAAGATTTGAAGGTCTTCCAAAGCCATATGCATTCGCATTCCATAGTCCTGAACCACGTGATCCTTGGCAGTACCAGTCACCCCGTCGTGATGCTGAAACAGTGCCAGGTTTCTTCTCGCAGCTGTCAACTTGTAGGCAAATCCAGTCGGCAACTTCTCACAATTTGGTCTCTGGCAGTGTCCTAGAAGGAAAACTATCATCATTTCAGCACCCCGCAAGGTTTGCTCCAGTACACGATCAACAGCCTTGAAGAAAGGGCGAGAAACATAATAGCCACTCCAGTAATCCTGGTTCCTGTCAGCGTAAGTAAAGAAATCGCCTGAGAGAGAAGGAAAGCCTCCAATCTCACCAGAGCCAATCTCATTTGGACGAGAATAGTTTACCCTGATGACTTCCTCTCTCAGCGCCTGGAAATAATCTTCAAGAGTGCCAAATTTAGCTTCAGCATTCAAGTCAGGATTAGCATTGATATAGTCAAACAGAAGTTGATAGTTCCTGAACTGAGCTTCAGCTTCATCACTGCTAACATAACGAAAATCATCTCCAAGAGGAACAAGAAGCGTATTTGTTCTATACAGTGTCGACTTCTTTCTGTATTGATCCAACAGCATAAGTGCCCTTTCCATAACATTTTCTTGGGTTGTCTCCACTGGATTTTCGCCCCAAGGGCAGCTTTCGTACGTATACATTCTTGCAAAATCAAACTGACAACAGATTGCAGGCTCAGGACCACAGGTATGTGGAATGTCGTATGAATAGAAGGGCATCATGTGGACAAAAATGTCAGTTGTTTCTTCAGCATCCCAGCTTTGTCGCCACACATATTCTAAGTCCTTATGCAAAGCTAGTTCCTTCTTCAACTCATAATGTGTCCTCTGTATAAGCATATTCTCAAAACCCATACGGCGATACAGATACGCCATTGTTGCAGAATACCCAAATGGATCTATAACCCATGAGTTTTTAGGAACTACACCAATAGTTTCATTTAACCACATATTTCCCTCAGTCACCTGTGTCACAAAATGAGAAAAATGATGGAGTTCATGGCAACAGTGTCTTCAGAATTACAATATGACCACTCTATTACAACCAATTATCATGATATGACATATTATGAGACAAAACAACCTCATACTACACAGAAACATCTAACAGTAAAACCAAGAAATGAGCACATACAGGGGCAACTTCAGCCAAGTTAGTCACTTGGTCAGACTGTTCACTTGGTAACAAGGTTATCTTTTAGTATGAGCAGCCTATTGGCCTTCTTGATTTGAGCCCCACTTACCTCCTTGTGATCCTATACCGACTAAAGTTATAAGGTGAGGATTTATCACCCTCGGATAGTTTCTTAAGTACAATATTGGCATGAAAGATAATGAGAGCAGAAGGAAAACAAATTAAGAAAAGATTATGTTTGTACCTGTTCTATAATTGCAAAATAATGCGAGTTAGCCTGCAGAGATGACCAAAAAGGAAAAAAGTGAGCAGCTATACAAGTTGCAGAACATACTGGACTGCCTTAATTACCTCATCATTCATCACCCAACCACCTCCAACGATTTCTAACTGCCCATTATGCACCAAGTTGATGAAGGCGTCTTTACTCTCATGCGAGGTATCCCGCCACCATCTCTCCAAATAAGACATTTCCTCCCATATAAACTTGCGACGAACATCCTTAATTAATTCAGACCAAAAATCAGAAAGAAAGAGAATAAATTGGTTAAACACTATCCGGGCCGGGGATTTATACACAGTGAAATCGAAGAGTTTAATTACCTTTGAAAGTGTTTCAACAATGGTGTCGAGGATATGCCTGGATTGCCGATCATAGTACTCTTCGACTGTGAAGATCCAGCCCGGATCATTATGCGAATGTGGAACCAAGAAAACCTTCAATTTCTCCGAATCCCATTCGTCTCCTACGTAACTAACATTCCATCCCTGCTTCCAAGCTCCGCCGTCCTCATCCAGGAATTGAATCTTGTCGTAAAGTCCCTTGGTTGTTATATCCACGAAAGCTTCCAAAACGGTTTCGTTTGTTGGGGATTCCCGGTGAACGGTTTTCCGGAGGCGATGAAAGCGGGATCGGGCGGAACGGAGGTGGGAAGAGAGGAGTGGCTTGGGGACGCCGTACTTGTAGACGATCAGAATGAAGAAGGTGAGAGAGAATAAGATGCCGATGGTGAAGAAATTGGAGAGTATGAAGTCTCGGATAAGGGCGCGTTTGCGGTACTTACGAGATTGCTTCGGGGAAGGCTTAGTGGTAGTGGGGAGAAGAGAGTGAGGCCACCCGCCTCCTCCGCGTCGGGAGGAGAATGGCATCTGAAAGTCACTGCAGCGCGGCGGCGCCGGCGGTGGTGCACTTCTAATTCAGAAAGATCGAGATGATCAATGCTTCCGGTGAGACCTCGCAGCTCGTGAGCTATGGTGATCGTCGTCTAACTCTCACCAACTCGAGATTACACAATGTTCTTCGCATTTTTCGCGGGCCGGGGTTTCATTTTTAGACCCCTGCACTCTTAGATTTTACATAATTGTTTAAAAATTAATTTTACCAACGGGTTATGAAGAAGTTGAATATTGTAATCTAGATACTCTATATTAACTTTCTTTCATATTTACCCTCATTCAAAGGAAGTTTGATCCAATTTTTAATATGAAATAATAGGTATTTTTTTTTAAGGGAATATGTATTTTTTTAATAACCCACAAATGAAAGATAAATTATTATAAAAATATATTGTGTTACAAGTTTAACTAAGAGAGTTAATAATGTTAATTATCATATATATAAAATTTTGTACTATCTAATGATAGAAACATTAGAAAGAGTTCTAAAAAGAATTATTTGATTGATAATATGTCTCTTTAGTGTATGAATGTGATTTATAAGTCAAGTCAGGAACCAACTTTGGAGTCCTATGAAATTTTTGAACTCTTTTCTTAATTTCCAAAAAAAACAAAAAATAAAAATAAATAAAATCAAAAATTTGTCTATGGACAACACATGGCATATAGCCATATCGGTATTAAGCAATAAGATTAACCACGTCACATGTCGATATTGGGTTTATCAAGACTAATGGGATAATGTGACAGGGCACTTGTAAAATCACTTGCGTTAAATGAGATTGTAATAAGAAACCCCGATGAGTTAAATGAGATTGCACACTCAAGGGGTAGGGCACTGTCACGTACGATCAGTGAGGGTCGAGAGATAAACGTGGTTGTCTATATATGACATCAAGGGTATCACTAAGAGTTAGTATTTGTAATCTTCTGATATGAGAATTATGTTTGACATATTCATTTACTTTATTTGGAGTCACATTTTTTATTTTTTTAACATAGTAAACGTTCATCCCATCAATTAAGATAAATCACGTTACCAAGTGGCTTGTGGTCCACTGGTATCTGATTTGGTCCCTTATGTGGGAAGTTTAGTGTTAGGCGACTAAATCACGGTTATAGTGTTCGGTTCGGTTCAGTTCGAATTGAACCGTGATCATCTCTATGTATAAGTAATATAATTTGTTGGAGAAGAAAAAAATAAATAAAATATTTATTTTAAAAATAGAAATGTCCATTTAATATATCAAGGAGGAAAATCATCACTTTTAAAATAATTGAGGGGACTAAAATGATTACATGAATAATTCAAGGGAAAAATGTGCTATAACCATATAATGTAGGGGGGAAAATGTTATTTTCCCTATTTTTTTTGAAACAAAATAAGGTCATGGAATATAGCTCGAAATAATTTTTGGTGGGGAGTTTTTAATAAAATACTTTAGGAATCCCCGCGGGCGCGGATCCTTTACAGTTTTACGGACCCGCCTTTCAGATCCGGGATCCGAGTCCCAATTTGAACAGTAGAAGCCCGCCAGCGAATGCTCTCAGCTCCCACGCTTCAGTTCAATTCTTCCATTTTTTTTCTGTTTGATTCCACAAGAATCGACTGAGAGAAACTGAGACAGAATTCAAGCTTGATAACGAGGGGAGGGATGTCATCATCATCAGTTCATAGCGATTCACAATCCAAAAACCCTACCGGCTCGTACAGCCGCAAAGAGAAATCGCTTGGTGTTCTGTGCTCCAAGTATTATCTCTGCTTATAATTCTAATTCATTTTACATATTATGACATTAATATATATGTGCATCTAAACACATTCATGAATCATGATACACCTAGAGATGGTATGTATAAACACTGATTACATACATGGGTTTGCTCAGTTTCCTGAGGCTGTACGATCGAGATGATGTGGATTGCATTGGATTGGATCATGCGGCAGATCAATTAGGTGTTCCATTTATATTTTATTATTATTATTATTTTTTTATTATTTAAATGCTGTCTTATTTCGTCAACACCGCATGGGTTAACAGAGTTCATCTGCAATTTTTTGTTGTGTTTTGTGGTTCTAGGTGTTGAAAGACGTCGAATTTACGATATTGTTAACATACTAGAAAGTGTTGGGGTAATTCTCTTTGGCCCTTTCTTGAAAACTTGCATCTTTACAAGAGTAAAATCTAATTGTGATATTCTCTCTAGTTGTTGTCCAGAAGAGCTAAAAATCAGTACACTTGGAAGGGATTTGCTGCAATTCCTCGGACTTTGGATGCACTTAAGGTAGTTAGAGTATGTTTTGTTTTTGGATGACTGATACTTGGATTATCCTATGCAAGTTCATGTTTTGATTCATTTGTAGGAGGAGGGTTTGCGAGAGAAGCTCAGTGGCCAAAATATTGCTAATGTATGTGGCTTGCAGCTGCTTCTTGTGCTTCTTTCAGTTTCCATTCTCCTCTTTAGTCATTTAGCCTTTTTTCTTTCCTTGCAATTGATTTTTTTTTTTTTTTTTTTTTTTTGTTTTTTGTTTTTTTGGTCCTTCTAGGTTTCGAGGGAAAATGAATATAGACAGCCTTCAAACTCGAGCACCAAGCAAGATAACACACATGAATTGCTTAAAGGAGGTTAATGTCTTCTTTTCATTCTGACAGACGTACTTATTATAGCATAAATAACATCATTGGACTTTTGAAAGTATAATATCTGCCATTTTGGTTGTTGTGCACTTATTTTCACATGAATAAAATTAATTTGAACTCTTAGAAGTATTATTTTTCTACAGGCAGTGATGAGTTTTAGCAAAAGCTGTGTGGATAAATCATAAATAGTGTTTACTTTGTATTTTTTTTTTTTTTTGGTGAAAAGTGTTTACTTTGTATTGATATCAATTATTTCATGCTTGATTGTACAGACAACAGGAAGGAAAAATCTTTGGCTCTTCTCACACAGAACTTTATAAAGCTTTTTCTTTGTTCTGATGTAAGTGTAGCCTTCTTTGTTCTCAGATTATCATAAACTTGTCTATCTGTAAATTACTTATTAAAGTATGCTTCTTTATCTCCCTTAGGTTGAATTCATCTCTCTTGAAAATGCAGCATCAGCTTTGCTGGGTAATATGCATGATCCAACTGCCATGAGAAGTAATTACCCTTCACTTTTAGGGTGTGTTTGGAAACCTGGAAAATGAGTTCTGGAAATCATTTTCCAAGTTTCCATTGTTTGGTTGTGCATGGAAAATCAAGTCAACGGAAATCATTTTCCGTTGACTTTGGAAAATAGGCTTATTTTGGAGGAAAATGACTTCCCCTTTTTTTTGGGGGAAGTCATTTTCCAACTTTTACACCAACATCACACCACCACCAACATCATCAACACCATACCACCACCACCTCACTACCACCATCACTACCACTACTGCCGCCGCCACCACACCACCACTACTGTCGCCGCCACACCCGCCACCACACCACCACCACCACTACCACCACCAACACTACCACCACCAACACCATACCACCGCAACCACTACCACCACCAACACCATACCACCACCACCATCATACCACCGCAACCACAACCACCGCAACCACCGTCGCCGCCACCACCACCGCCGCCGCCGCCGCCACCACCATCACACCACCACTACCACCATCGCCGCCGTCGCCACCACTACCATACCACTGCAACCACCGTCGCCGCCACCATACCACCGCCACCACCACCACCACCATACCACCGCTACCACCACCACCATCACACCGCCGCTACCGCCGCCGTCACCGCAACCACCGCCACCACCACCACACCACCACCATCACACTGCCGCCGCCACCACCACCACGACCATACCACCGCTACCACCGCCACCACCACCACCACCATACCACCGCCACTACCACTACCACTGCCACCACCGTCATACCACCACCAATTATTATTATTATTATTATTATTATTATTATTATTATAACTATTACTATTATTATTATATAACAAATAACACCACTACCACTACACCACCACCACCATAATATTTTTGATATATTATTAGTTACTCCGTATTTTTTTATTATATTTAAAATTATTATTATATTATTATATATTATTAGACATGTTATAATATTCTAAATAAAATAATTAAAATGTTTAATTATACAATTCCACTCATTTTCCAGAAAATGAACCAAACACACAAAAACAGTTTTCCAGAATGCAACCAAACACTGGAAAGGAAAATGTTTTCTGGAAAATGACTCATTTTCCGGAAAACATTTTCCAGAAGTTATTTTCCTGCTTTCCAAACGGACCCTTAGTGTGTTTGAATGGGCGGAAATTAAGTGGAAAGAAATGGGAGAAAAGAAGATAGGATGATTTGTATTTTCTCTTGCTTGTATAAGAAGGAAAATGGAGGGGAAAGAAAATGAAGGGGAAATAGGGGAGAAAATAATTTCCCATGCTATCAAATATTTTTATCTCCAAAGTGGGGAGAAAATGGATAGAAAATTAATTCTTCCTTTTTCAACACACAATTATGCCATGACCAAGCTCCTCTCTTTCTCTACCATATTTATTTGTAACTCTTCATTCTTTCCTTTTATTTGCTTTCCCTTTTTCTAGCACAGTTTCTTCCCCATTTTCTTCTCTATATATTCCTTTCCCTCCTATTTTCTTATTCCTCACTTTCCACCCATTCCAACATAACTACTATTTTATTTTATTTCTCTATGACCAAACTATGCAAATGATCCAAACTATGCAAATGAATTCTTAATTTCTACTGACATTTCCTGTATAATCTTCAGCAAAGGTTAGGCGCTTGTATGACATTGCAAATGTATTTGCATCTATGAACCTGATTGAGAAGGTTGGTTACTTTCACAATTTAATAAATAGTGAAGGCAATAGATAGAAGATAGTTTTTAATCTTGAACTCTTCTGATAATTTTTAGATTCGTCACCCAGAAAGTGGAAAACCAGCATTCAGATGGATAGGACAGGTAGGAAATCCTGGGAATGGATATGGTAGTGCAGCAGCTAATGTGACTGATTTGAAGAGGACATTCGGGGCAGATATTACAAACACTGTCCCGAAGAGATACAAGGCTGGTTCTTCATCAGATTGGAAGCCAAGTGAACATGCAACCCAGTATGCAAAGCATGGTAACTTAAAAGATGAAAATAGCAAAGTCTCACCTGATCGGCATAAACATGGTTCTAAGGATTTTGAGTTTGGGCCTTTCAGTCCCTCTAGTGTACCAAGAGAAGTTCTTGGAAACATAAATGTTGGGCAGATTCCCAACTGGGAAAACCTGGCTTCTACGTATCGCCCTCGATATTGCAACAAGGGTAATCTCTAGAACCTCACAATTTATTTTCTGAATTTCCTTTCCATCCATGTTGTTCAAGATGGGAAGAAAACAATTACTTTGCTTTGGTTTTTGTATAAGGTTTGCTTTCATAGTTTGATGTTTTGTTGTACACAACCACTCCACTGTTGTTTTCCCCCATGCATTTGAGGAATTGTATGACTATTGACTTTTTGCCAAAAGAAAGATTATGGTTATCAATCAAAAGTTTTTAATAGTTGTTTGCCAGTTAGCTATAACATAGAGAAATAGGATGGAGGATGGGAAATGCTGGGTACATATTGTTTGGTTTCCAATTAGCTTAATATAGTACTTCAGACACTAGGAATTAATCCACTACCTTATTTATCATATATTCTGTATGCTCTTGTTTTTCTTTTTGCATACAACAATTGTTACCATTAGAATTTGAAAAAACGTGTTTTGCTGAACATGTCGCAGCTTTAAGTGATCTTTTTGGTCATTATGTTGAGGCATGGAATTCGTGGTATGTTGCAGCTGATGCTGATGAGAAGCAGCATGACCAACATTTGCCCTGATGCACCTTACATCCTCTATTCCTCTCCTCTCATTTCTATATGTGCAGCATAGAAATCCAATGTACTCTTTTTCTCCTCCATGGCAAATGGGAATAATTGGTCCTGTTTTGTTTCCAAATGTATTCCTTTTGTATTGACACCCATTATCAGTTTTGCATCAATGATAGAATTATCAAAGATTGTTACTTGTTATCTTTTGCTTATATTTATTAGTTCATGTCTTCAGCTACTCTTAAAAGATATGGGAGAGAGTGAGACCAATGGGAACTGGGAAGGTATGTTAATACATAAATTGAAAAAATGCAAATACATCTCTCATCAATTGTACATTTATTCAAATTTGAGTATTCAATGATTTCAACCAATCACTTGTAGTTCAATATTTGGAAAGAATGGAATTTGCTAAGGTTAAAGAAAAAATGGAAATTGCATAATCATCCAACATTTTTTAGTTTTGCCTCTAGGAATGAATCTTCATTTAGGATCAGTGAAGAAGCCATTGATAGATGGCATAATCTCAGGAGACCTGTTGCGAACAAACTTCCTGAGACCATGTTCAGCATATTTCTCTCCTTCTGCAAAATTTTCCAGCACACCAGCAGCCCTGTTTTCCTTAGTCACCCTACACATTGCAAAAGGAATTGGAAACAATTACAGGGTGTCACTGTAATTTAGCTGTAGTTGAATTGCAATTCAGTGGATGTCTCAATTACATTGTTTGGTTGGAGGGAATTGCAATTCCCTCCTTTTATTGAATTGCAATTCATGGGATACCTCATGAATTGCAATTCAATGAATTTGAGAAAGGAAAAACATATGAAATGACATTACTACCCTTGGTTGTTATTACTATTATTATTACACAAGGGTATATTAGTCTTTATACCACTTATTTCCTTTTAAATTCCAATAATTCTATTTCCCCTCCCAACGTAATTTGAATTCATACTTTATTCTCACCTTATTTTTTTTTCACCGAATTACAATTCTTTTCCTCCTAATTCCTTTCTTCCAACTAAACTGAATTTTGATATTCATTTTCACGTTTGTTTACCTATTTTTGTCATCCTATTATTGAATTCAAATATCAAATATTTTAGTAATTACAAAATCCATTACTATTTGACCAGACTGTAGATCTGTAACAGAAAGGGCATGATAAAAAAAAAAAAAAAATGTTTCTTTTCTTCAATTAAAAAGCTGAGGTAAATGAAAAGGTATAGGATTACCTGACTTCAGGGTTGGTGGTGATGTTGCGGACCAATTGCATCCCGCAGATCCCGACGGCTACTCCTATGGCGGCGAAGAGAGGGTAAACCTGCAACAGTTTAAACGTATTTATCATTCTCAACCCCACAGATCTAACAGAACATAAGGAATCGCAGCTATTGCGGAGATATGAGCAGAGAAGAAGCGGGGCGAGAAAATGGGAAAAACCTCGGGTCGTAGCCATCGGTTGATGGCGGAGGGAGCCATTCTGACTTCTGAGAAGGAGAATGAGATGGCGTGCAGCGTGCTTTGAAGCTTGTACGTTCAAACAACCTACAGATTCGCTGAATACGACATACTTGTATCCCCCCATGTTAAACTAAAGTTTTAAACGAATTCCAGGCTCCAGCTGCCACTTATGCGTATTTGCGCAGGCCCCCATAACCTTTTCTAATTTGGATTTTCGCGCTACCTTTTTGGAAGGAATTGTTTGGGTCAACTCTAACTAAGGATGACAATGGGACGGGGAGGGGGCGGCGGCGGCAGGATAATACTTCCCGTTTCCGAAATTCCGATCTCGTTCCCGTTCTCATCTCGACGAGAAATTGAAAATAGTCCTCATTTCCATTCTCGCGAAAAATTTGACGGGGACGAAAATTTCTCATCACCGATCAACTTTTAATAAAAATTTTTAAATTAGTGTAATTTTTAATTTTAAAAAATTAAAAACTTAAATATTAATTTAAAAAATTAATATACATAACTTATTTATTTATTTTAATTATAATAATTATTCGAGGGCGGGGCGGGGAGGGGTATCCCCATCTCCGTCCCTATCCCCGATTCACGAATTTTTTTTTCCGTTTTCGTCCTCGTCCCCTATGGGGACATGGTATATTGTCATCCCTAACTCTAACTGTCATGCGCTCAGTAATGCGAACTCATGCAATCTTCTCTCATTTTTAAAATGTTATATCACAAAATTTGCAATTATTCATTATTCACCCTTTATTCATACAATTCTTTCTCAAGTCTCCTTTTTAAAAAATAACCTCACTATCACATTAATTTATTAAAATAATTACGGAGTATTATTTTTTTATCAATAAAGTATTAATAATAATTAAAATAATACTAAAAGTGTTAATAGAAAATATAAAAGCTGTCAGCAGGCAAATTGCAATTCTGACACGGTAGTTGCATAATTTGCAATTCTGCCGTGTAGAATTGCTACACGTCAGGTAGATTTTGCAAGTGTCATTCTTTCACGCGTGCGGATGGCCTAAGATGCCTCAAGTACATGAGTGTAGTGTTAAATATACAAGATTTCTTATGACATCTTTTAAATTAGATGACGTGACGCTTTTGATGAGTAACGATAGCTAGCTTGTTAGGCAACATTGGTTAGATATTGCATACCTTAATAAGTTACATAACATATATTATCGATATGTTAGGCTCGAGCATATTAACTCATTATTTAAGTATTAGGCCATTTAAAATGCTCTAACTCCATCAATCTCAAACAATTGTTAATATTATAAAAAAAAAAAAAAGTTATAACATTTGTTGACATATTTTTTTTGTAATGTGTAGTAAATTGTTGATTTGTAGTCAACTTTAAATGAAATGAAATTTGAGAGTAGTTATTGATGAGTTGGATATAAGTAATCTAGTATTCAGTATCGACCCAAATTCAATACAATACGAAATTTGAGAGACATATTATCTCTCTTAAGGAGTAGCTAGAAGATTCTTGGTCTAATTGTAGGAGATTGATATCCTTAGAGTCCTCTCCCTTATATTTTAGAATATCAACTTGTAATTAATGTCCTTGATTATTGAAATGATTTACTTTTCATATCTGGTATATAAGTCATTAATTAGTTGTTTATGTTGTATAAAAATAGCTTGTAAGAGCAACACCATCAACTAAAGTTTTTGCACAATTTTTTTTTTGCCACATGAAGGAGGAGGGAAGAGAAAAAGAAGGAAATAAAAAGAAAAAAGAAAAAAGGGAACAAGAGCTATTTACGTGTCCAAATGGCGTGAACAAGGTGTGCCTAGTGGGCTAGTGTACTCAATGCGCACCAGGCAACAACTTTTTCCTTTTTCTCTCTCCGAATAGTTCTCACAAAAAATTATATTTTATTGCAAATTTTTTTCTCTCTCTATTTCCTCTACCCTCATTCCTCGAACTCACCATACCTCTCATCAACCAAAGCAACAAATCCCTAAAAAACCACTATTGGTCATGCTCTAAGGGCATCCCCAATAAGAGAATTTTACCTAGATTTTGGAATAGTAAAAGCTTGAGGTTAGGTTTTAAACAAATGTGATGGTTAGGATTTTAGTGGTTTTTTTCTCCTGCAAAAATGGGTTCTTTGTGGGCCCCATCAATTATTAAACAAAGAGAAACAATGAGAAAACAAGCGCGTATTGCGCAATTTTCGCGCCCAGTAAGGCGAGTGCATAGCACACGCCTTCTAGGCGTGTTTGGCACATCTTTTTATGTATTTCTTTTATTTTTTTTTTCAAATTTCTTTTTTCTTTTTTCCTTCATCCTCTCTCTCCTAGTAAGCACCTTAAAAACTGCAAAAAATTCATTACTATTGAGGATGCCCTAAGAGCATCCACATTGTGAGAGAATGTGGAGTTATTTCTTACATTAAATCTCTCGAGCAAAATTAATAGTTGATGTGGGAAAGAAATAATTAGGAAAGATTTGGCCTGCAATAGAAAAAATAACGTCAGAAAAGAAAGAAAGAAAGAAAAAAAAAAAAAAAAAACACAACAAAAGGGCCACACGGGCGCGTGCCGTGCGCGTGTGGCGCGTCAGGCGCGCTGACAGCACGCCTGACGCAGTATTTAATTATTATTTTTAACTTTTTTTTTCTCTCCCCTCACTTTCTCTTTCCTAATCACTCTTACATTCTCCCCAACTGATGCGGATGCTTTCTACTTTTTCTTGAAAAGCAATAATAGCTCTCTAGTTCCTTTTAAGCTTTCTACTTTGTTTATCGACCTATTGCATTGATCAATCGTAAAATAATTATTATCTCTTTTCTCTTTTTGATATAATAATTGTCTATTTTATCTTATAACAAGTTTCTCGATTGAAAAATAAAATACTTGATTGAGTGATCAAGCTTCAAAACATAATTTAAACTTAACTGATTAATGTCTTTCAATCTTGACTATTTTTTTAATTTGTATACACATCTGATGGGAGCATATATCCCATATACAACTACTGATAACCCAACATTATTATTATTATTATTATTATTATTATTTGGTCCAATGGTATCAAATTGTTCCCGTGTTTCTTTGAGATTACATTATAATAGAGTCAGTATTATTCAAAAAATTTATTTGGAAGAATAACCCAACATTAATAAGTACAGGAATAAGATTTTTTTGCTTCAAGACATCAAAAATAAGACAGTGACACATGAAAGCTTCAAGGCATTACAGCCGTGCGTTCAAGCCACTCGTCCAGTGGCGAATCCGTAAATACATGGCAATGGCAGGGGCATCGATTCGACCAAAATCGCAAGAGAACAAAAACATCAAACAAACTGATGGCTGGGCCGAAAAGATGAGGCGGACAGAGATTCGAAAGCGGTCGTGACTGACTGGTGAGAGATAGCATTGCCGGAGGGATCCAAAGCCACAAAAAGGATAAGCTTTGTGAGCTGCAAGCTCGCCAATCTCTCTTTCTATGGCTTCCATAGCTCGCGCTTTTCTCATATCTCGCCTCGCCGAGCTGTCACTGAAGCCGCTCCAGCCACCGCAACCACCGCCTCCCTTCGCGCACCACCTCCTCATCCGCCCGTTTCTTCCGGCCGCGCCCACTTCTTCTAGACGCCGGCCTTCGTCTTTTGCTGCCGTCAGCTGTCTCGTGTCTGGAGTTGATGGGGGCGGCGTCTCCGACGACTTCGTCTCCACCACCAAGTCTGGTTTCGGCCGCGAATTCGCCGTAATCGCCAATATGCTCAAGCGAATTGAGCCTTTGGACACTTCAGTTATTTCAGAAGGCGTTTCCGCTGCTGCTAAGGACTCTATGAAGCAGACCATATCGACGATGCTAGGGTTGCTACCCTCGGATCAGTTCTCCGTCACTGTTAGGTTTTCAAAGCACCCACTTCATCGCCTAATTGTTTCTTCCATAATCACCGGGTGAGTAATTCAGCTTCTTTTTTTCCTTTTTTTCTCGTAATCCATTCACATAGCGATCTGGATATCATTGGAGCTTATTTTAATTTTTGATTCATACACACAAAAACAGAAGGTGCTGATTTAAGTTATGCTGGTAGGTATACATTGTGGAATGCGGAGTACAGAATATCGTTGATGAGGAATTTTGACATTTCATCAAATAATTCCAAAAACTTGAACTATGGAGATGGAAATGAGGATCCATGCGTAAAGGGGGAGGAAGTTAGTATTCAAGAAATTGAAAGTGGTGCAGATGGTTGCAACGTAGCTTCAGATACCATTATTAGTCAAAATTTTGAGGATTTGTCTCCTGAAGCTCTGAACTATATTCAGCAATTAGAAATGGAGCTGAAAACAGTTAAACAGGTGCTAATCTATCTTTATTTGAAACAATTTTGAATAATAGATGAGAAGCTTGATAGATGCTTCAAATTTGTCGTGATTGATCTTTCAGTTCTTTAATGCTGATCTGGAATGTACAGAGTACAGTTTTGATCGGATATCCATAAACGACTGAAGGCGTATCCTGTCCCTGGCCTAGTTCAGGTTATAGAAGACGCTCTTCTAACTTATTTGAGAGTGAATTCTTAACTTCGAGATCAATCCAACTAATTTTTGAATCGCTAATGCAGTTTAGGTTGTGATGAGATTAGCATTCAATAGTAAGTTGAATAATTTGAAATTCATTCTGGAGTTTGTTGTTTCTTGCTGAAATTTGGATTTTGGTACTCTCTGTTTGAAATGAACCATAGAGGCATGTAACTAGCAATACGTGGATTTTGATCCTACTGGTATCTTGGGATCCCAGGCGACAAACCAAACGTCTACAACCATGCAGGAAGATAAAATATTTGAGGGATTGCCATTCTGTTGTTGCTTCTGAATATGCTTTATTCTATATTCTATTGCATACATTCGAACTGAATGTTGTCTGTTGTCTCAGGACCTGCATGCTCTGAATCAGGAAAATTTGCAAATGGACTATGACAAAAGAAGTAACAATGATCTGCTCGAGTATCTTCGGTTTTTGGAACCTGATATGGTAATAAACCTGTTTGTTTTATGCAATTACAAGTACTGAAATGTTTTGGTCAAATTCCTCATGTGTATATTCTCAAAAAACAGGTGATTGAACTTTCTAAGCCATCCTCGTTTGAAGTGGAGGAAGTTATTCATCAATTAGCACAGAACATACTGCGAATATTTTTCAAAGAAGAGACGGACTCTGAGTCCGAAGAAAGCATATTGTTTGAAGCTGCTGCAACAAACCGCCAGACTGATGCCGAATCATGTGACACAATAGGCACATCACGGGATTACTTGGCAAAGCTTCTGTTCTGGTTAGTATATTGTTATGCCTCTTTTTCACTTCTGCTTCATTCCTGTAATTCACCTTATCATAATATCATCCACTTTTATGTTGGCACTATTGAAGCTTTTTTTTTTTTTTTTTTTTTTTTTCAACTTTAGGTGTATGTTACTTGGCCATCACTTGAGAGGCTTGGAGAACAGATTACATTTAAGTTGTGTTGTTGGACTATTGTAAAGTTAATCAAGGATAAACATGAATGTATATCCCTCTTCCTTCCAAATTTTGTGTTGTTTATATATCGAGAAATTAAGTATATAAAATGCCTATATCTGATTTCTCTGAAGAAAATGATAAATGTACTCTCATAGAATAAAACTCCGTTGGGCATTCAAGAATCAAGAATGAGTTTTTCATTTACAGTACAAATTTCCAAAATTGTGAAGAAAAATGAATGAATGAATGAATCATGGTAATCACAGTGATGATTGGTCCTCTCAATCTCTCATTGTCTGGAAAAGCTGGGACTTGTGTACAGATCGTAAGGTTTCCAAAGATGATCAACTGGGCATGGTCTGCCTTCATCAAGCCTCACCCATGGTTTCCCTTTCCCACTCCAGTGCAGTAAGCTGACAGGTCCAGGATGCAACTTCCGGCAACTATTAACAACGTTATCGCCACCGAGCCCGTGTTGGTTCCATCGATGATCAATGCCTTCAACTTCTCCTCCAAAAACCAGCAAGAATGGTGGAAGAGATCCCAAATGGTATATCCTCCTCTCCCTCTGTATTTCCATCCAGTTCTCTATTTTCTTGGTGTAATCTCCCTTTCTCCATTTACCCAAATCTATTACCATCACCCCTGTGTTGAAGTAACAGGCCTTCCTCCCCTGAAAATCACCTGAAAGCCCAGAATCCGACCAGAACTCGCCGGTAAAGTAGTTTCCGATATCTACGTGGCAGTATTCCGGAGCTGCAATGATTCTTGAACCGGTCAAGCTCACTGACCATAGCTTCTGGATATCATCAACCACAATAACATCAGAATCCAGATACACCACACGATCAACACACTGCTCGATTATCTCAGCCAGGTAGCTTCTCGCGTAGTTTAATGGGTTGTCAAGAGCTTTACGAACGGAAGAAGAAATCAGGGCTTTGACCCGCCCTTCATCGAAAGGATAAGCCTTGAAATTCAGAGACGGGAATGCAGAGCTGACAATCCTTGTCAACTGAGCCGGCGAAGAAGACGAAGTGGCGACGAAGTGGAAGAAGATGTTTTCAGGGCAAGAAGCGTGGCGGAGGATCGAATTGATCGCTGCAACTGAGCCTCTCAAGTACTCAGAATCAAGGGTCATAGCAACATGAACAATAGCCGGATCACACATCGACAACGAATCATATTCGCCTGCTTTGCTCATCAATCTGGGAACGCATTGCTCTCCGTTGCGATAATCAGACGCTTCAGAGTACCCACTATCAAACTCTATTATATTTCTCGGTTTCTCACCCGACAATCTGATAGCTTCTGCAGATACTAAAAGCAAAAACACGAACGATACTACTCTTAACATCTGCTTCGTAGATTGATATTCTAAAATGAGAAGCCAGAGATTTGATGTTATCCGCTTAGATCTTGACTGAAAGTTTGCGTGTATATATATCATATCAACGAGGATGGCACAAACGCTGAAACGCGTTTGGAAGGTTGAAAAAGCCTTTCAGTACTTGGTAATAGGAAGGTGCGAAGAAGGTTCTCATTGGACCGGACTGGTTCCCTGCGGTATTAAGCCTTATATTTTATTTATTTATTCTAGATGACAGGAGGCCCGAGTAAAACTTCGTAGTCAGCCGATCACTGTCGAGTAGGGGTGTAAATGTGTCGAGTCAAGCTCGATTTGTCGAGTAGGGGTGTAAATGTGTCGAGTCGAGCTCGAAATTGATCGAGCTTGAGTCGAGTTTTAATCGAACCGCTTATATATGTGTGTGTGTGTAATCGCGAGCGGCTCGGCTTGAGCTTGTGCTGAGCTTTGACTGAGTGACTCGTGAACTGCTCAGTTCATTTGTACCCCTACTATCGAGTAATAATTGCAAACCATATAGTTATTATCGAGTAATAGTTTGCAAACTACATAGGAGTAATTGCACAAAGATTTTATATAACAAGTTCGACGGAGAAGATATTGATGAGAAATGAATTTAATACAAAAATCATGTTTCACCATTAGATTATTATTTTGAGGCAATTTATATTTTATTTGAATTCGTAGGATGTCGGTTTGTTATTTCCAGGAATCTGTGCCTAACGTGTTTGGTACTTAGTACTTACTACTACTAAATACCTTCAAAAATTCAAAGAGCAGACGCGCACGTGTTTTATACGATTGCACTATATTTGACTCTCTAGAGTATGTATAGCCCTCCAGGCTCCAGCTGCAGATTACCAAATATTTGTACATTTATTTTATAGTTATTACTAACCCGTATCTATTGGTATACCGGATTCGATTTTATATAGCTTTTAATATATTTAATAAAGATATTTATTGGTACGTCAATGATTTTATTTATATCTTTATGAATTAAATATATTTAATAAAGATATATAATGGTACGTCAACGATTTTATTTATATCTTTATGAATAGTGATAGTAAAATTAATAACCTTTTTAGATAATAAATATACACAAAAGAGATTACAATCTCTACTTAGTTGAGTACAATGCTTGAGTTGGGTGGCCTTTGGCTTTGGAGGCTAACCAAGGAATAGTAGGCCCCACTTGGTCCTTTGGCCAGCAAGGACGAGTGGGTCCCTTTTTCCACAACTTTCCCCTTATCCAACACTGCAATAGTATCGCAATTCTGTATGGTGCTTAGTCTGTGGGCCACCACCACGCTCGTCCGGCCGACCATGACTCGCTGGAGGGCGTCTTGGACCACTTTCTCCGACTGGCTATCCAACGCGCTAGTGGCTTCATCCAGCAACAATATCGCCGGATTTTTCAGTACCGCCCTAGCGATGGCGATTCGCTGCTTCTGCCCTCCCGACAATTGTAATCCCCTGTCGCCGCACCAAGTGTCGTAGCCGTCTTTCAATCCCGCGATGAAGTCGTGCGCGTTGGCCACCTTGGCTGCTTCGATGATCTCCGCCTCGTCGAGGTCGTCCGAGGCGCCGTAAGTGATGTTCTGTCGTACGGTCCCGGCGAACAGCGTTGGTTCTTGGCTGACGAGCGCGATGTGCTTCCTTAAAGCTCGCAGGTGGTAGGATTTTACGTCGCGGCCGTCGATTTTCACCGCGCCGGTTGTCGGGTCGTAGAATCTTTCGATCAGGCCGATGATGGTTGACTTCCCGGACCCACTTTGCCCGACCAAAGCCGTTGATTTCCCGGCTTCAATTGATATTGAGAAGCCTTTGAAGATAAAGACATTAGGCCTAGCCGGGTACGCAAAATCAACGTCACAAATCTCGACGTGGCCCGTCACCTTCTCCGGTTTTTCCCCGTCGGAATCCTCCGGTTCGATCAGCGAGTACCGGTCCAAGACCGCGAAAACCGACCCGACGGAATCAGCTCCTTTAGCAAGATCATTAGTCATCGTTCCGGCGTCGGCTATGACTCGGCCGGTGCTAATCAAAACCATGAACGTCTGGAGCAAAGCTTTGGCCCCAATAACCCCTTCCGCCACGAGCTTTCCGCCGTACCAAAAATCCAAAGCCCAAGTACACGTCATGAGCCCATTGGACGTCCCGAGCCCGATCCCCGCAAACCATGATTGGCGAATGCTCTCTCGTTTCGGGCCTTCTTGGGCTTTCTTGAGCATCTGGATAATTCTTGCTTGGGAAGAGAACGCCGTCACCGTTCGGAGGTTGGCCACCGCTTCCGCCGCCAGCTTACTGCTTTCTTCTTGGGCTTTGCTGGCTTTCTTGGACATGCTCTTTAGCAAAACACGCTTGCAGTAGTAACAGATTATGATCAGTGGCTGCACTGCTATCATTACTAGTGCAAGTTTCCAGGCAACCACCAGCCCCATTGTGCACGCTATCACCACTGCTGAGATTGTTTGAATCAGTAACGCCATTCGATCACCGACCAAAGATCTAACCTGCAGTAACGGTGTATACAAAACATTTTATACCAATTAATATTCCCAACCATAAATTATTTTGTAGGCTACGAAAAAATGGCAGTTACTACATAGTGTGCACCCAAAGAATTACAAAAAGTAAATTATAAACCAGTCTAGTTTAGAGCCATCAAAACGGGTTTTTGCTCGCAGATCCCGTCTTGGGCCCTATTTAGATAGAAGGTGAGTTTTGAAAACAGCACTTTACCAAATAACGAGCTTTTCAACCCGGCCCGGCGCGTAAACTGGCAAGTTTTGGCCAGTCCTGCTAGCCCATATATATTGACAACTCTAGTGTAGTTGAAGAACACTAATATAATAGGTCATTATCATTGAAAATTGAGCCAACAATCTGACTAACCTAATTGGTTGAACCCATAATTGAAAGATGTATGGGACTATGGGTGAATTTTTAAATCAGGAGCCCGTCAAGGAGCGGGTTTTCTTGTCCCAGCCCAGACCGACTTGCCTAAGCCCACGGACTGTCGTGTTTTGGCCCGCCTTACTCGGCTAGCTCGTATGACAGCTCTAATATAATTGAGGTCTTAAGAAACACTAATATAATAGGTTATTATCACTGAAATTTGAGCTAACAATCTGACCAATTTCGGTTGGGTGAACCCATAATTGAAAGATGTATTCGTCATTTATAATGAATAAAAGTGACGTACCACATTGGCATCCTTGGCAAGTCTTGAGCAAATTGCACCGGTGGAATTTTCATCCTTGTCGTACCACCCGATTTCGAAGGTGAGCATCTTAGACAGCATTCTTTCTCTGATTCTTTTAGTTAAGTGCTCTCCCATGGCGGCGAAGTAGTAGTGCTGAAGTATGTTAATCAGAAAAGAGAAAACGGCCAACCCAAGAAAGAACAATGCATAAATTCTGGTTTTCTCCTTGATCTCATCATGGCTGGGCAGAAAATATACTGAAATCATTGAGCCCATTGCGAATGCATACACCGGTTGAACTCCACCAAACAGTATCGCCCCGATTGAGCCCATTGTGGCTTGCCTCCATTCTGGCAAATTCATGGCGAGAAGTCTCCTAAATGAAGGCACAGGGAGCTTTTCTTCTTCGCCGCCATTGCCAGAAACAACAGAATCATCATTTTTCTCGAGCCCTCTGCGGCTATGAGTGAAAGAGTTAGCGGAGCTCGATCTGCTCACCATCGACAGCCTTCTACTGCTGCTGTTATGCGCATCCACAGTTAATTGCGGCGGCGCTACGGTGGCGGTTTGTTGGAGGCGAACGAGTGAGGAGTAAAGCCCATTTTCGTCTTCAATTAGGTGGTCGTGGGAGCCAATCTCTTTGACCTGGCCGTTTTGGACCACCGCGATTAAGTCGGCGTTTCGGATGGTGGAGAGGCGGTGGGCGATTATGATGGTAGTGCGGCCAATGGCGGCCTCGTCTAGCGCTTCTTGGACTACTCGCTCCGATTCAGAGTCCAGTGCACTGGTTGCTTCATCAAGAAGGAGAATTCTTGGCGCCTTTATGATCGCTCTCGCGATTGCTATTCTCTGTTTCTGCCCGCCGGACATTTGGACGCCTCTTTCTCCGACCTGGGTGTCATAGCCCTCGGGCAACTGAGAAATGAAGTTATGGGCGTTAGAAGCTTTGGCGGCGCCGATGACTTCTTCCATGGCCGCCGCCTCCTTTCCAAAAAGAATGTTTTCTTTAATGGTGGTGGCGAATAATGCGGGCTCCTGGCTCACCAATCCCATTTGTGACCTCAGCCATTTGAGCTGTATTTTATCAATGGCGACACCGTCGAGAAGTATCTCTCCTCCGAGTGGGTCGTAAAATCTTTGCAGCAGTGCCACCACGGTGGACTTCCCGGAGCCACTCCCTCCCACTAGCGCCACAGTTTTTCCGGCTGGTATTCTCAAGCTAAAATCTTTCAAGATTATGCTTTCCGGCCGTGATGGGTAGGCAAATTCTACGTTTTTGAATTCTACTTCTCCGGCAACATTGTCCAGTATTTGTCCTTCCGTGCTGTCGGAGTCGATTTTTGGCACCCTTTTTATCACCTCCATTATTCTTTTCCCGGCCGTGCTGGCCTCCGAAAAATACTTCAAATTCGACAACGCAGATCCCAGCGCCCTGAAAATCCGATTTCCAGTTTAAAAATTTTGAAAAAAAAAACATTAGAGTTTTTGATAAATAGGGGTTAATTGATTGGGTTAATGATTTGACTATTTGATAGAATTAGCCAATTGAATGTTTGGTAGATTAGCTGTTAGCTTATAGTTGATTATATATAAAATGAATTTCTAAAAAAACTGATCAATTAAATTTTAGCCTTTTAGAGCAATAAATTGTTACAGAAAACTAATTAACCAAACATTTATATTAGTTGTCTAACCAAGTCAAACAACTAGTAGTGGTCAAAGAAGTCAAAATTGACAGATAAGTTAATTATATTACCAAACAAGACCATATAATTTTTGTTGAGCAAGAGAGTAACCTACAACCACTATAAGAGAGTGCGCTTTAAGTACATTTTATTTTGTGACTTTAGCAGTAAAGTAAGAAATTACAAAGAGATAAATAAACGGGCTCATCAAATTAAGATACTTACAGTCCGCCAATGGCGATGGCGGCACCGACGGCGAAAACGGTGCCGCCCTGGGCACCGTGGTACATGACCAACCTGCTGCCGTAATAGGACATAAAGGACCAGATGGCGAAAACAATGCCGTTGCTTCCGATGGCTAGGCCTTTGGCGAGGCCTTGTTTCAGTCCCAGTTTCACAGTGCCTTGGAGGGCAGTGGAGTAATTTTCAATGGTCTTGGTTTCTCCCACGAATGAATACACAGTTCTGATGGAAGAAATAGCCTGTTCTATAATGTAACTGGCCTTGCTATACTCCTCTCTCATCTTCCTCGCAATTCCCATAAGTGCCCTCCCGTACATTAGCCCCGGAATCACCAGAACCACGATGAACGGAAACCCCACGATTGCCAGCCGCCATATCATCATGAACCCCACCACATACGCCCCCACAAATGTCGACACGTTCATCAAGAACACCGGAACCTACCACATTTATATATATGCAAATTAAAATAGTGAATTTATTATTTCAAAACTGAAAACAACCATTGTATTATGTATTGAGTAATCTTAGACAAAGAAATTAAAGCAATACAAGGAGATAAACAACTCAGGTTGTCGAGCTCAAACAAGAAGACTAATAAATAGTTTCAAATTAGAGTTTAGTTAGAGTGTGTTTAGAAACAAGGATAATGTCTTATGAAAAATGAATCATTTATTATAAATATTTTTATATTTTAAATAAAACAATTATGGTTGGAAATCATTTTTTAGTCCGTGGAAAATGACTTCTACCAATTTTGACCGAAATCATTTTCCTCCAAAACAATCATATTTTTCCAAGTCACGAAAAATGATTTTTGTTGAGTTTTTTTTTCAGATAAATCCAAACATGGAAAACTCTTTTTTTTTTTTTTTTTTTTTGAATTTTCAAATATTAAAAACACTCTTGTAACTATATATTCTACCATATATGCACCAACCTTTTCACTAATGACATCTTGAATAACGATACTATCGCTGGAAACACTATCGATAACATCGGCGGTGCTGGTCACATGCAAATCGAAGTACCCAACGTCTTGCCGTAACACTGCTTTCAAATATCGTATCCTTAACCTCGACGCCTGTCTCTCTGCCGTTCTTGTCCAGCAATAGCCCTCTGGAAATTTAATTTTTTTAAAAAAAAATTGTTAGCACTCATATATGCAGATCATATCAGAAGAAATTATATTGGTTAAAACTTAAAAGTTTAGTTTAATTTGAGATTGTGACCCACCCAAAAAACAAGCCACCCATTGCGCACACGCCAGCAAACACAGAGCCAATGAATTCTGCAGCCGAAGAAATCACAGAAAACAGCTTTAATTTTATGCACTGTACGTACATCTCATGCAAAAACCAAAACCAAAACCAAAACCAAAACGAAACCTTGTTGATACGATGAGAGAAAGTGTCGGCGGTTAAAGCAGAGGCACCGCCGAGGTTGTTCAGAATCTTACTAGTAACGAGGAGCATAATCGGCATGGAAATGCCATCGCCGATGGCACCTACAACCCCGAGGCTCATCAACACCAGATCCACTCCGTCAGCATGGTTGAAAATATACCCAAACCACCCGTTTCTCTTCTTCTTCCCCATCACTCCATTCTTTTCATCACTGCCCATTCCTCAAACAGACACAACAAAAAACACAACACGTAAAGATGGAACTACGACGTTGTTGATATTCTTGTCTGTTTCAGACAGAAAATCGGATGGTGAGGGTGAAACCAGACGATGTGATGGAGGTTTGGGACTGAGATAATGGTTTTTAATGTTGGGTTGGTTACTTGGTTTAGTATATTATATTACATATGTATATATATAGACATATGCGTATACATCAAACAAATAGTTTACACTTTACACAGATCAGAGTATATGATAGACCGCGGATTCTCCATTATAAAATTGCAGTTCAGTGATCATGTGCCAGTAAACTATGGTAGTTGACTTTTCCTGTATGTTTTTTTAATATTTCCCTATGTTGTCGTCATTAATGACGATGATCTTCCGGGCTTTAAGGTTCCATGTCTTTCATTAGGGACAAGTGTTAGAAGACCGCATGGAGAGAAGCCGAATTGAATGTTCAAATACATTAGATGCTTCCATTACTTCCAAGCACAAATATAATTAAAGCATGGCATTAATAATGATCATAATCTTGATGATCATGGGACTAATGAATCATTGATTGTATTATCTTTCTTGGTTTTCTCATACTATGAATCTGGTACGTGTTTCTTGTTCACGTGGTCGATCTCTACTTTGCAAAATTTATAATTTGATCCAATTAAGTTCACATGCATCTTTTAATTAGGAGTTTACACGTAACAACTAATTGAGCCAGCCCAGCTTAGCTTTCCAAGAGTTGGATTCAAATCTCAGCATATATGAACAATTTAGCTGTCATATTTTATAGGGATTTTAACACTTTTACCCTCTCATCAATTGTTTCACTTTTAAAATTTTGGTCCCTATAAATTAATTTAAACAAATTTAGCCACTCAATCATGGATATAGATTCTAAATGACAAAATTGACCTCATAAAAAAGAATTTGCTAACAAAGTTTGATAATTATATAACAAGAAGGACTAAAAGTACAATATAATGAACAATTAAGGGACTAAATATGTTCAAATCAATTAACAAATAATAGAGACCAAATTTTCAAAAGTGAAATAATTCAAGTACAATAAGTGTTGTTTTTCCTATTATATATATATATATATATATATATATATTGTTACGAGAGAAACCCGTAACTACTACGTACTTGAGGGAGTTGAGGATATTCTTTCGCTCTGGATGGTGTAAAAGTTCGCAAACCACACATGAGAAATAAAATTCACTAGGATCATCATATGCGACAGGCTCGACCCAAAGCATGTTAACAAGAATTGAACTTGTGACCTTAATGTTCAATTCAATGAAAAATAAACTACACTACCGAGGGTGTGTGTGCATAGACAGCAAAGTAAATCTCGCTCCTATATGCTAATATGCTACCCAAAAGTGCACTTTACCTTGAAACCTTACTTGGCAAATGACCACAAGAATGTAAACTTACCTAAGTTAGTTGCTCATAGCTAAGCATACCTCCCACGTATACTAGAGTCAAAACATAAAACCTTGTCGGTTAGGGATTGCTCCATTCATCTCTATATTTCTTCTTTAAACATAGTGGCACTAGAGGCAGCGAGGCTGAAATCCTTCGCATACGTTTATACATTTTAGTACAATTACCTAAGTTATCTATATTTGCGAAACATGCCACGCATGCACACTAATTATTCATTAATTAATTATTGCTACTAATTTAGATTTTTACCTAATATGGTAGCCAATGGATCTTCATCAAATCCGGTCAATATTAATCGGGTCCTTTTACTGCACGAGCATATCTAATTAAGTTATAAATATGCTTAAGAAAATAGATATATTTTGTTAATTAAAAATAAAGAGTTTTCTAATAAAATACAGGTCTTAAATATTTTACAAAAAAAGAACTCGATCCATATTGGCCTTTTTTAATGATATGACATTTTCTCCTTCACCGCCGATGTATAGCATCTATACATCGACGGTGCATCAAATATTAACCCTTTGAAAAAATAAGTAAATAAATAAAAATAAAATCTACTTTTTGTTTTCAATGAAAAAGTTTTTAAAAAAAAAAACAAAACAAAACAAAATTCCCCTGACCATGTATTAAATCAGATTGTACACATACCATATAATACAATAATACATAATCATACATGCAATAATCTAATCTCATAGCGGAAGCTAATAGGATCGAGCACCTTCAGTCATATTGTCATCTTTATAACACTGTTTGAAGGATTGTAAGGAACTTTAAAATTTTGTCTATCATTTAATGTAAAATCACACTCCATAATTAAAATTACAATAAATAGTCATAGATAATCACATAATGTTATGCAATTGCCAAAATCATAAGCCTTTATAACGTGTTTCGAGAGAAGTTTTGAACCTTAACAACACTTAAATTCGAAAAACATTTAAAAATCGAAATGTCAATGACAACATAATTTTTACCAAAATATTATCCATATAAAAGCATATATGAAAACGGTTAATATATAAAAATTTATTACCATTATAAATAATTAACCGAATATGTAATTGTGTCCATAAATCAATTATAATATATTAACATAGTAATGATAATAAGGTTAATAATTAAAACTACTAAGAAATTAAAGGATGGTAAAAATTAAAACGGCTTCCTTAAGCTCATATAAGGAAACTCAATGTCAATCATATTATATGATGACCAATTTACCATAATAATATTCAGGCTCTGTTTGGCAGAGCTTATTTAGAAGCTTATAGATTATTTTAAGGAGTTAATACCCAAAATCGTCCTCGATTATAGTGGTTTTTCTCAATTTCGTCCTAAACGACTTTGGTGACCTAATATCGTCCCAGACTTTTGTGTTTCGCTCAATTTAGTCCTCCATTTGTTATTCCGTCAAATTGGTGTTAAATAAAGGGACAATTCAATAATGTCAATATTGACCTCTCTTTACTTTCAACTTGTGAAGTGCGAAATTCCTCTTTCTTGTATGAATTACACCCAGAATTACTCCTGGACCTGCAAATCAAATTTTATATTCGCAGTTTTAGGAGTAATTCTGGGAGTAATTTGTAAAAAAAAAAAAAGAATTTCGCAGTTCACATGTCTATGAGTAAAGAGATGCCAATATTAAAATTACTGAATTGTCTATTTATTTAACACCAAATGGACAAAATAACAAATGAGGGACTAAATTGAGCAAAAACACAAAAGTCTTGGACTAAATTGAGCGAAACACAAAAATCTGGGACGATATTAGGTCGCCAAAGTCGTTTAGGACGAAATTGAGAAAAACCACTATAGTCGATGACGATTTTGGGTATTAACTCTTATTTTAAGTTACTAATAAGCTATAAGCTCTGTTTGGTAATGTTTCCAAAATAAGCTCATAGCTTAAAATAAGAGCTTATTTTGAAACGCTACCTTAGGTAGCGTTTCAAAATAAGCTCCTAGCTTCCTAACTTTTTTCTATTTTTATCCTTATTATTTTAAAGAAATGACATAATTTATCCTTCCAAATTAAAACACTTTTCTCTTCTTCTTTATCCGCAACTTTCACCGCAAATATTATTATTATTATTATTATTATTATTATTATTATTATTATTATTATTATTATTATTATTATTATTATTATTAGATTTGCAACAATATTGTTACTTCATTATGAGATGCAAGATCATGATTATGCTAATAGTTTTATTTCAAAATGTTAACTTTTTTTAAAGACAAAATGTTAAATTTTAATATGTAAACAAACTAATTTAAATTTTATGAAGATGTCCTTTTTAGTCTTTTTACATTTATCAGCTTATCAAAAGTTAATTTTACCAAACACTTTCAATCATAACAGCTCTTTAATTTTCAGCTCCGAGCTTATAGCTTTTCAGCTTTCAGCTCCTAGCTTATAGCTTTTCAGCTAGGTTTGCCAAACAGAGCCTCAATATTCAATAGATAATAACAATAATTACCATTAATAATTAACCCATCATTATTTTTGGAAGGATGAGAATATTACTTGTATATATTAAGGAGTTGTATATATATGTCATGAAAATAAGTGTTGCCTATAAAAGATAATAGATAAACACTAAATAATTTAAAACTAATAAAATAAGGTGGATAATTAATCTGGGGGCGGGGTAGAGGATGGCAATTATGAGGTATTCTCTCACATCATCATTGTTCTATTATTATTTTGCAAGTAATCGCAATAATTAAAGTATTGCCAATCTGGTTGGCTGGTGTAGGTATATTGCTATTTTTGTAATTAATTAATTATAGAATTATAAACAGAAAATTAATGTACTCCATTTAGTTATACATATATTCAGGTGCCCAACAAAAAGTCAAACAAAACACAATTACTGTCCTCATTCACATACACACCCACCCATTACCCAATGTTTGTAATGTCTAATAAATTTTCTTTTTCTTCTGTTGTGGATGCAAAGCTTCTATTCATTAAAAAAAAGTAGTGTAAATTTGAACCCCTTGAATTGATTCCATAGGTTAGGATAACAGTTACGAATTTCACCAATAGATAAAAGATGAGAGTTCAAATTCGTGAGGATAAGCTTTCATTCTCATATGCTTTTGAAACGTTGGGTTTGATCCAGCACTAGTCGATAAGCTTGTCTTCCTAACTGTTTTTAAAAACTCTTAATATCAAGATTTACCTGTCATGCAATACTTTATTAAACATGTTTTAACTCAATTACTTAATTTCATAAACTAAGAAAGTTTAGTGCACATACTTGTATTATAAGAATTTATAATATTTGCACATTTTTTAGTAATGTATGTGAATTTTTGCGTAAAAAAAAATAAAAAATTATCATGTTTGCTTAGCTATTGGACTCATCCGAATGACTATAGGAGTCTACGTTTTATGATAGTTTGACTAAAAGAGAGGTTGGTAAAAACTAATAATATAAGAATAAATTACTGGAATAAGAAAACACAGCATACTGACGTTTGTGCATACATCGGCAACAAAGTACAGCTTAAACCAACTTGGTTACACGTCATTATTTTAAATTTTTAAATAAAAAATATTATATATACTCTCATTCTCTATTCCCAATTTTTACTCTATACTTAATTTTGATGTAAATACATTTACAAAATTACAAATACCCATATGAAGATAATAGTTTATCAATATTTC